TTCTGACTCTGTCACTGGCCTGTGTTCACGTCTTCTCTCCTGCATGGCCCCGAATTGACAGCCTGTCGGGCTCTGCAGCCGTTTCTCTCTGGGCTGGGTCCTGGTCCCAGGCCATCCTCTGCGTTCATCTCATTGGTGTCCTGCCTTCAACAAGGATCGGATAACATACAATTATTTTATCATCAGATGTATTTAGCCTCGGGTGTAAGCCCCACCTGTTTCAGCTCAATTTCCGACCCAGCCCAGTTACACCAAGAGAAATGGCAGCGTTTAAGCCATAAGCAGCTCCCAGGCTCAGAGCTGCAAGCCGACGTCATGGCGCTGGTTATGAGCTTAGTGGAACCAGAACCCTTGGGCCGTGAATGACAGTTTCACTCAGCGTGGAGACCCTGCTGGGTCGTCCACGAGGCCAAACGTCTTTCTTGGCGCCTGCCTTGAAACCTGCCATAGACACACGCTCCTGGGCGTCGGCAGGGTAAGTGGAGCATGGACCCTGGGATTCGGGAGGGCGGTGTCCCTGCTCCCCGGTGACGAGGGCACGGCCGGGAGCAGATGTGCCTGGGCGGCAAGGTGCCGGCCCCGCAGGAGAGAAGCTGCCTTGCGCCAAGCGCCGGAAACAAGTGCGGTCGGGGCAGTGACCCGCGTGGACTGGAAGCGCTTGCTCTCCTCGAGGATGTTCAGTATTAGCCGTTCTCCTTCTTTAGTAAACAAATACTGCCACAGGGCAGCCGGGACCCAGAGCTTATATCTTCAAAGGAAAAGCAGCCGGTGGGACGCACGTGCGTGTGTGGACCCTCACGCAGCTTTCCTTCCGAGCCCGGCAGGGGTGGAGGTGTGTGACCGGAGTGCGGCCTATCGAGCAGCATTCTGCCACGTGTATTTCTCCACGGTTCCCCCACCTTCATACCTCGAGGTGGCGTTTCCCCAGCAGTGTCACAGTAAGGAGAGGCCGAGAAGGTGCTGGGAGTCCAAGAAGGGGAACCGAGCCCAGCAAGATGCCACGGACACCCCACCACAGACATCAGGAGGCCTTGGCCTGAAGGTCGACGTGACTCCCAGGAAGGTCGAAGTCCGGGCACCGCCCGCGGGGCTGGTCCTCAGGCCTCTGGCATCGGCCATCCAGGGATGTGGCTTTGGGAAACACGAGCGACTGCTCTCCTCGGGCCAATCACGAGTTCCCCACACGAGGGTGATGTAGGGGTAGGAGCGCCCCCAGTGGGGAGGGAAAGCAGGCTGGGGTCTGCTGAGCACCCGGCGGGGTGACCTCGCCCGGAGTCTGACAGCCGGCTGAATGCATCCCCAGAAAAGCACGAGGGCCCGCACTCCCCTCAGGTATTGATTGAGAATGTAAGTCCAGGCCCGGGGATTACCCTGGTGCGTGGAAAATCAGTTGCGCAAATCTCATTATGCTTAATAGTTCTGTAATGTTATTTCTCCCCCTAATTTGTAGACATGCTTTTCTCCGTCATTGATTTATTGAGATATTTAACAACATAATACAAGCGAGGAAAGCAATGCACAGTGGAGAGACAGAGCGGAGGCGTCGGCAGCCGCCGGGGTTTTCTGCCTGCCGTGATCGCGGTGTGAATGTTAGTGTGGATAGATAGCCCAGGGGACCACAAGTGGAGCCTAAAACGCTGAGGACGCTCATTCTGGAAAGGCAGAATTAAGCAGAATAAAAGTGCGAGCTTCCTTCCGCAGGAAGTTCTCTTGGCGTGACTCCGCCCCTCGCAGCGTTTTTCAGTGTAAAGTAAATCGTGTGTTGCGATTCTGTATCAATATTTTTAAATGTTTTTATGAAAAATGCACATAATTCCTGGAGCTATGACAGAGCGCTTAAAATAAAATGTGGACTTTAGGTGACAGTAGAGGCAGGGGAAGTAATTCTTTTTCCGCAGTAGCAGGAAAGCATTACAGAAACAGTCGTGCAAAAGCCATCCAGAGAGCCCACTGCAGCAGTGTTCAGGCCTGCCGCAGATGGTCTGGGAATGCCTTTCACACTCTTAAGTCCCTTAATTTCAATGGCTTTAAGCAGTATCCAGTTTCCAAGAGTCTGTATTTTTTTTTCAGTCTCTTTCACAGCATAAAATGATCTGTCCTTTTAGAGGGAAAATATTGCACAGTTTATTCAACGCTTAAAGCCCTTGGCGCAGTGAATGGCTCATAGTAAGTGCTAAATTAAATGGTGGTGGTTATTATTTACTGAAAGCTTGCCAGTGCCAGGCCCTGTGAAAGGCTGTGGGGGCACAAAGATGAATGGATGGGAGGACAGATGGAGGGATGGAGGGATGATGGATGGATGGGTAGATGGAAGGATGCATGGAAGGAGGAAAGGGAAGGGAAGGGAAGGGAAGGAGTAAGGAAGGGGAGATGAATCAGGTCAACTGATATTTACTGAACTCTTGAAAAATTCAAGAGCCCAGTGGTGCAATCAGACAGGTAAATGTGAAGAAGCGTTCTGGAGGCCCATTGGCAGGAGTGTAGGAGAGGGTCAAGGCTGGCCTCAAAAAGATGAGTCTGAAAAGGTGCAATGAGCTTGTTGATCTTCCTCCATCACCCCCCTCCCCCATAGACTTATAAACAGCCCACTGAGAGCAGAAATCTCATCTGATCCCCTGTTGGCTGGAACAGGGCCTGACCGAAGAGGGAGCATTAAGTATTTGTGGATCGAATGCGTGGATGAGTGAGAGGGGGCGGAGGGGAAGGATGCCCGCCACCACGCCGGGGACTTCAGGCAGAGGGAGTGGCACGTGCAGAGAAAACGCACCCTCCGTGCCTATTATTCCCCGCTCATTCTTGCCAGACCAGAAATAAATCACATATGACAATCATGAGTGTAAACCTTAATATTTTTAGAAGGAAAAGAAAGGCTTAAGCTATGACTTGCCATTTGGACATTATTAGTGGTAATGGGTAGCTTGGTGAGCAACTACTATCAATGTGAATATTTAGAAATAAATAATCAGCGTACTCCCTTTTTGCCTGTACAGAGATTTATGCCTTTCAGGTCTCATTCACATCCATTCCTTCATTAACCTGTGACTACAAGGGCTTAATCGGTGCAAACTCTAAACCCTATGCAAATGCAACTTACACACTAGCTGTCTCTTTCTGTTTACTGTGATCCTCTCAAACATATCTGGTGTTCCAGGATGTGTGATAAGGTTGGTTTCCAGATAACGCCCCCCCCCGCCCCCGTAAAGCTGTCTGCACGTATGTGTGCATATTCAAATGTGCGTGGAGATTCCTCTCCAGATCTCCTGCTGTTTTTAAAAGATCACAAACCTGTGCCTATAAAAGAATTTACAATTCATGAAGGATCACTATTTCAAATGAACATTTTGGGCCCTGAGCCCACTGTTTACTGAAAGACCGCCTCAGAGATTGGATTTATATTGTGTTTTGCAGACACTCACGGAGCGCACTGCTTACTAAGCACTTTACCAATATTAACTTGTTTAACCCTTGCAACACACCTGTGTTGTAGGTGCCCTTTGTTGTCCCCGTTTTACAGATGAGGCACAGAGAGGTTAAGTCCTCTCCCTGAGGTCACACAGCTAACGTGCGGTGAGGCAGGCTTCACACCAAGGCTGTCTAGCGCCTTCCTTTTTCTCTGCACCTGATTTTCCGGCTTCAATTTCAATTTTACTAATGTTTTCCTACACGTCAGGGCTTAAAGAAATTCAATATGTATTTTTATTGTGGTGAAATACATAACATAAAATTTACCATTTTAACCGTTTGTAGGTGTACAGTTCAGTAGCATTAAGTATATCCACGTTGTTGCACAACCATCACCACCGTCCACCTCCAGAACTTGTCCATCTTCCCAAACTGAATCTCTGTCCCCGTCAAACCCTAGCCCCCCCATCCCCCTCCCCCGCCCCCTGGCACCCACCCTGCTACTTTCTGTCTCTATGAATTTGCTCTAGGGACCTCCTATAAGTGGAATCATACGGTATTTATCCTTTTTGTTTCTGACTTACTGAGCATCCCGTCCTTGGGTTCACCCGTGTTGTAGCAGGTATCAGAGTTTCCTTCCCTTTTAAGGCTGAATCATATTTCATTGTATGGATGGACACCTTTTCTTTATCCATTCCTGTGTTGATGGACATCTGCGTTGCCTCCACCTTCTGGCTACTGTGAATAATGCTCTATGAACATAGATGTGTCGGTGCCTGTTCAAAATTCAGTATATTTTTTAAAATTTATACCTGTATTCGGTAGCACCTGGGCATAGATTAAATAACTGCTGGTCTTAGGGCAGGTTTGATGCTGCAGCGCTTCCAAAGGATGCTCGAACTCAGGGGCGGCACTTCGGGAGTTCGGTTTGGCAGGTTAAGGCAGGGTCCCCAGGTGAGGGAACTAGGCTCCGGCAGGGTTGTCCCGGAGCACGTGCACCCCCGTGCCAGCTGCCACTTGGCGCCTTCGCCCCGCGAGAGCACACGACCCGTTATCGATGATGGAAAGTTGCGCCGAGCACGCTGCAGCGACCACCCCAGGCGGTGGGGACAGCGTGGCAGCATCACTGCGAGGCTGGCGGCTGGCTGGCACAAGAGGCGTCGTTCAAAGTTTTCTCCTTGACCCGCCGGCGGGATTGTCGTTTCCAGTTAGAAAGCAGTGGGACTGAGAACTCAGGTCAGTGGCCGGTGCGCGCAGGCGCCACTGGGCCAGCGGGTGTCCTCGGTGAGTCTGGAAGGTGGGCTTAGGGACACGCGGCAGGAGGTGGTCGGTAGGCAGCCGGAAGCCTACACCAAAGGTGAGATCCAGTCAGAAACCAGAGGCCCAGGGAGCACCGGGGGAAATGCTTCTGCCCAGCTTGCAGGCTTAGCAGAGTCTGGTCACCAGGGGGAGGCCCCTCTCCTGCCTGTGCCCCCGCCCCCCCCAGCTCACCCAGCCGCTGGCTCACATCCGTCCCCAGGGGAGGGAGCTGGGAGCTGAGGGCAGGGTGCGCATCCACGCACATCCACGCCCTGACCTCTGCTCTCGCTGCCCTGCAGATGAAGGCCTGTGGGACATGTTTGTGAAGGACATTCCGCGGGGCGCCACGTCCTACACCGCCAGCCTGGACAAGCTCAGGCAAGGAGTGACCTACGAGTTCCGGGTGGTGGCCGTGAACCAGGTGGGCTACGGGGAGCCCAGCAGCCCCCCTGCTGCCGTGTCAGGTAGGAGCCCTGCGGGAATCCCGGGGCGATGCCCCTCCTTCGGGGGCAGGGAGGGTGACCTGGAGCCACGGTGACGGAAGGAGGGCCGGCGCGCGCCTCGCGAGGAGCTGGGAGGACGGCGCGGGCCCCGCGCGCTCCGCACTCCCGACCACGCTGTGCGCCAGCCGTTCTGAATTCTCCTCTCTCCCTGAGCACCGGAGCCACCAGCTCCAGCCAGGCAGGGTCCCCCCGGGGAGGAGGCTTCCCAGGCAAAGTGGAGCCCAAGACCCTCCATGAGGGGACGCGACCTCACTGTGGAGCCATGGGCTGGTTTTGAAAAGCAAAGCTCGCCCCCAGCAGCCACCGGGGAGTGCGTTAGCCCTTGACACGCGGTCGTGTCCGACGAGGGCCCCGGTGAGCCCTGTGCCAGAAGTGGGAGGTGCCTGCCCCCCGCCCTGCTCTGGGTGGAGCAGAGCACACGGGGAGGCCAGGCTCCCTTTCCCAGAGCTCGAGTGTCAGCGGCGACAGACTCTGTCCTCACCAGTGACGTGGCAAGGGGTGTGGCAGCTGGGGGTCAAAGTGACTGCCCGAAAATCAGGAAGGGCTTCTCGGAGGAGGGAGCCCGGGTCTGAGTCTTGAAGGGTGCAGGGGGGCGGCTGCAGGGAAGGAGAGCCTGGGACAAGGCAGAGGAAGTAGCAGGTGAGGAGCCCAGTGAGGACCAGCGGGTGGGGAGGGGAGGGCAGGTGAGGCTGGTCCCAGGTACGTGTGAGAAGCGGGTCTCCACCCCGCCCTGCACCTTAGGGTCACCCCTAGGGAATGCTTAGAAAACAGCCACGCAGGGCCCCACCCTGGACAGCAACTGCATCGCCGGGGGCACAGGTCTGGGCTTGATGATTGTCTAGCTCCGCAGCGGTCCTTCCGTGCAGCCAGGATTGCGAGCCGGGCTGTAGAGGGGTTGAGTGAGGGCTGGCCACTGGAGGTCATCTGGACAAGGGAGCAGGCCAAGTCCGGGCCAGAAGCCACGAGAGCTTTCCTTCCAATCAAGACAATTCTGTTTCCCTTCCCTGCAGTCGCATTTGTTCAAGCCGCTGACTGCACTTGTTCAGATTGAAAGCATCCTTCATCCTTTCCTGGTCGTGAGTCTGGGGGAAGGGTAGCGTCTTGGGCGCTCAGGCCCCTGGTCTAGGAGCAACATGAATCCCAGGGGCGCTCAGTGCGAGGGGTCGCGGGAAGGACCCGGCACCACTCGCTTGTTTAACGAACAGTACGTAGAAAAGTCAAATTTTCCTCGCTTCCTTCATCTTTATTAAGAAAATCGTAAACACACCCCAAAGTAGAGAGAATAGAATAAGGCACCCCCAGCACCCATCACCCCAGTTCAGCAATTCAAGATATGCCTCCCTTGGTCCGTGAGCAAGAACTCATTAGATAGCAGTTCCAAACGCACAGAGCTTTTCATTGCACACGCGCACAGCCGGTGGCAAAGGCTAGTTCCTACGTAAGCACGCGGATCCGGCCCTCGGGGTCACGGGGCGCCGTGGCTGGACCGTTCCTCTGAAATCCGTCACACCCCCGCGCTGGCCTCAGCTTCCAGCTGGTCGGCGGTCCGCTCCTCTCATGGTTTCGGGAAGCCAGCAGGCCGTCCCCTGCCGGCACCCCTCAGGCCCCGCTGTGCAGACCGGGGTTGGGGAGCCCGACCCGGGGCTGGAGTCCTGTAGCTGCCCAGGCCTTTCTGCCCAGGCCTGCTCTGCGCCACTGCCCAGAGGTCAGCTTGGACGTGTTGGCCTTATTAGATGGAAGACTTAATGTACAGCCTGAAATCCAGCTCATGTATTTTGGATTTAAAGTGCTCCCTGTGCTGTTACGTGATCCAGAGCACACGTCCCCCTCGTTCCCAGGGTGCACACGCTTCGCATCCACCCAGTGAGGTATTTAGCATAAGGGAGAGGTCTTTTCTGGGGGTTTCTGCTCCTGGGAGCCAGACCTTGGGCTCCACCTGTAATGGGCTTCCTGTTCCGTCCCTCACGTCCGATGCCCTGAAACAGGGAAGCTCGTGGAAGGCACGAGTGGGACCCCAGGGCCATCCGACACCTACCGAGAAGCAATTCCCATTTTTCTCGTCTTAGTAAACAGAATAAAACATGAGGAAGACGATCCTTCTTCAAAGCAACTTTCAAGTGAAACCTTTTCTGTTCGTTCTGGGAAAACGTTATCGAAGGGGGGCCCGTTGTTCGGCTCAGCTTTGCTGGAGGATCGAAATAAATAAAACACAGCCCAGCCTCCGGGGCTGGGGGCCCTGATGCAGCGGAGGAGGCCGACAGGTGGTCAGGCAGGCCCACCCAGCCGGAGGGTGCGAGCAGAGGTTCCTGGGCAGGTGTGGGAGGGTCCAGTGCTCGGCACGGGCAGGGCTCGGGTCACGGGGTTCCCAGGCTTAGACTGACTGCACCCCGAGGCCAGTAGGGGCAGCACTGAGGCCTTTTAGGAGGGGCCGACTTCCCACCTGAGAACGCTCTCTGTGATGTCAAGGGTTTGAGCACAACGGGAAGCGGCGACACAGTTGAGCCGTGGTTCCGGTGGCCCAGGCGGCGGTGGTGGTGGCCCGGGGGGTGGCAGCGGGGATGGAGGTGGCCGGGGGACTTGGGGGCTGTCTGGGAGGGAAGCCCCAGCACTGGGAGAGACGAGCAAACCCAGGCACTTTTGTTCCTCCCTCCCTTTAACCCAGACGACATTTGTAAGCAGATGAAATTGAGAGAATATAAACACGATGGCCAGGGTCCAGGACAGTGAAGTCTCTGGGCTGGGAGCGGCGGGGGGTGGGGGGGGGGGGGGGGGGGGAAGGGGGGACAGGACCCTGGGCCCAAAAGAGACGGTGGAACCAGAGCCTTGTCTCTGGGTCGGTCTGCCCACGACAACCCAGCCCAGGCAGGGGGGTTTACCCTCCCCGTGCCCGGGGCTGCCCCTCGAGCCCTCCCCTCCCCCGCTCACGGCAGGGACGGAGCTTCTGTCCCACGTGACCGTGCCCGTGTCGCCCTTCAGCTCAGGTGGAGGCCCCGTTCTACGAGCAGTGGTGGTTCCTCCTGGTGATGGCGCTGTCCAGCCTGCTCGGCATCCTGCTGGTGGCGTTCACCCTGGTCCTGCACGGCCAGAACAAGAAGTACGGGAGCTGCGGCCCAGGTGGGACGGCGCCTGCCTTTCCCCGTCTCCCCACGGGGGAACTCTGGAGCTGAAACGTTTGGGGCTTCCCTCCTGGATCCGGGGTGCCCACATCCACATTCCATTTCATTCGATGAAACAGGCACAACAGACATCCCTTCGGAGGCAGCGGGTGCAGGGAAACAGGAGCTCTGGACCTCGGCCACCAGATTCTGTCCCAGCTCCGCCCTCAAATGGGCCTTTGGGTCATTTGGCCTCTGTGAGTCTGTTTCCTCATCTGCACTGTTGCTCAAATGCAGGAGTATTTTGTTAAGCGATGATTAGAGAGCGGAAAGCGTTAAACAGATGAAAAATCTCACTCCAGTATCATGAGGACAGTGAGTGGGGCACGTCTCAGGCATTCGGTGTGGCTCGGGGTTGGTACAGAATCGTGTCTGTGGCCCAGCGCTTCTCCCTAACACAGGGTGAGCACCTGCCTTAGGTCCCGCATCACAGCTCCGAGCCCTCTGTGGGTCAGAGGGTCCCCGGTGTTCCCAGCACAGCCTGGCGTGGCGTTGCTAAAGGAATCACCGTCAGTAGAGAAATGGACAAACCAACCGCAAAAGGGCCCATACAGTGTGACTCCGTTTACAGAAAGGTCAGGAACGACCTAATGAATGGATGTTTCTAGAAGGCAGGGTGGTGGGTGTTCTTAGTGGAGAAGTATAAGCAGCGAAGGTCCGTGAGGGAACCTCACGGGGTGCTGGGAACACTCTGATACCTCTGTGAAGCGGGGGCCAGCAGATCCCCGACCCCAGCCCCCAGCACCATTGTCACGGCACCAGAAGGGTTCATCAAACCAGGCACCTAAAGTGCCTGCCATTTGCTTTTGTAACATTAAGCCATTCATCCCTCCAAGAAAGGATTTATTTTTTCCGTATACATTCACTTCTAACAAGTGTTGGTAAATCAGATTTTATTCCTGCGGCATTTACAGAGTATGAATGGCATGTCACTTTACTGAGCTAATGCTATTACAGAATCCTATGTCTGGCGCAGAGAAAATCTCCCCGCTTTCACTCTTCTTCTCCATCTGGGAAACAGACCTGAAAAGTCCGATCTGACCCGCAGCTTCTGATACTCAGCCTCACCCTGGAGCATTCATTTAATGTCATCATTGAAGCCCAGGGGGAAAGAAAACAGAAAAGAAACACTTGTCTACCAGCACGTCCCCCTGCCTGCCCAGGAGACGCACAGAACCTAAACCTTTGCCGCTGCAGCCTCGTTCTAACCCTGCTGCACGATCCTGCTGCCTCGTACGACGTCAGTCCCCTTCCAATAACAGTTTCCACCTGCTCTCCTCCCATCAACCCAAATCCCTACCCGCAAGCAGCTTCCTCTTTCATTCACCACTCTCTGTGTTCTGCTGGCTTTTCCCCGTTGCACACGAGTACATTAAGGTGAGGCGAGGGCTGTGGGATCCCCAGCAGAGAGGACCCTTGCGGTTCAGAAAGGCTGGTGAATTTTACAGACACACAGGGTGCCCCTGGTGTGTGCTCGGGCAGCATCCCGGGGGCTGGGATGTAACTAAGAGCGTTATTGTGCGAGCGTAACTGGGTCTGTGCACCAAGAGTTTATAGTCCGGTAAGGAAGACAGACAGATGACCACAGAGAACAAGCCAGCGCAGGAAAAATGCAGACGTGGTGACGGCACCACGGAGAGAAAAAACACAGGGCGAAGACTTCAGGGTCCAAAAGTTCTCTCTGGTCTCACGACCCTTGAGCTGTGACCTGAAGGAGGGGGTGAGTGATGAGTCAGGAAGATGGCTGGGGGAGGGGCTCCCAAGGTGGGGGAGGGAGAAGCGGGGTAGACCAGCCCGAGCAGAGGGACAGCCGTGAGGACACACCAACTCTCATGCCAAACGAGGTCGGAGCCACCGGGACCTCTTCCTGTCCTCAAGTTACGTGTAACTTTGGCCGGCTAATGTATTTTAGAATATGTTTTGATATGTATTTATAGACTTATTTTAAGTGGTTTTCAGTTACATTCACAGACACCTGTGACCATCATCACCACAGTCAGTTCTGGAGCATTTTCATGGCCGCAGAAAGAAACCCTGCACCCTCTAGCTGTCACCCCTTATACAGTTACTCTCCACTTGCTGTCTTGTCCTATGACTGTGAGGCTTTTATTTTGAAATGTATTGAATCTTTAATGTCCTCAACGGTTTACAGAGTTCACGTATTCTGAGAGCTCTTTAATAAAATACTGATCAAAATACTCGGAGTTTGGTGTCGAGCAGAATAAACACCAAAATGCAAACGGCATTTTGCTGCGGGGTTGACGTGCAGCCTCTCTCCGCAGCCTGACCCTGCCTGTCTGGTGGGCTGACGCAGGCCGGCCCGGCCCTGGGCTCCGTCCAGCAGGCCATCGGGGAGCAGCTTACTGAAGCATCTGTGCTCGTTTCCCCGTCCGGCTTTAGGTAAGAGCATCTCCAACATGGAGGAGTCCGTGACCCTGGACAACGGGGGATTTGCCACCTTGGAGCTCAGCAGCCGCCACCTCAACGTGAAGAACACCTTCTCGAAGAAGAACGGGACCAGGTAGGGCTGCGACAGCTCCAGCCCCCGTGCTGCCTCCACCCGAGGACCCGCTCGGCCGGGCCCATGCCCACGGGCCCCCAGTGGGGCAGCGCCGAGCCGGGGGGGGGCAGCGTGTGGGGAGTTAGGGACGTTTTAAAGACATTTCCAGAGACAGAAAAAAAGGGCAGGTCTCAGGTGCAGGCACGCGGTCTCGGGAGACCTCCCGGCCCCAGACGGGGCAGGCGTCATGCGAAGCTGCAGGGGGACTGCGAACTGTTTGCATTGGGGGCCAAAATGATGCCAGAGGCGGTGGATTTCTCCCACTCAGCCTCGAAGCAGGCCAGAGGGTGTGTCGGGAGGCCTCAGTGGGGGGGTAACTGGTGTCCCCGTCCCGCCCAGGTCCCCGCCTCGGCCCAGCCCTGGCGGACTACACTACTCAGATGAGGACATCTGCAACAAGTACAACGGTGCCGCGCTGACCGAGGGCGGGACCCTCCAGGAGAAGTCAGGGGACGCCACGGAGTCTGAGGTGGGTGCCTGTTACACGGGGCCCCCGCCCTCCCCAGGGGCCCCGCTTCCCCCACAAGCGCCCCAGTCGGTCTCTCACGTTCACGAACAAAACCAGTTGAAGCAGCCGGTAGAGAGCTGGGGCCCGGTCAGTCCTAGACTGTTTGGTTTCAGCAGTGCTGAGCCTTGACAGGGATGAAACTCACCAAGCTCTTTGATGGACGCGCAGGCCCGCCCCACCCCTTGGCATTCATGCTCTAAATCAATATTTAATCTAAAATAAGTCTCACCTTCCTTCTGATCTGAACTCAGGCCTTACTGAGCCCTGAGGCTCCATAGAATGGCGTCTTCTAAATGGTGGCTTGTGTACGCGCTCACGGTGGGACCGGGACAGCAGGGCATGGCAGGGTGGTACAGCTCGCTCCGTCGGCCCCATGTGCTCTGTTCACAAGGACGCCGGGCCCCCCGTCTGTACCGTAGCCGTGGGCACGGGGAAAACAGCAGAAGCAGCGCTGCACACGTTCAGAAGGAACATCTGTCTACGGTTGAGGGGCTGTAGATTTTCCAGTGAAAAGCTGCAGACACCGACCTGCCTCTTCCTGATAAGGAAGCCGCAGCTTGTACCAAAAGCAGCACATTGGGGAGGGGCAGCTCCGCCGTCCAGCACGTTCTGGCTCAGCGATTAGTCACCAGCACGTGCCTTGATCTGTCCTCGGTTCCTGGGCCTGCTGCTCTTAGACCGTCAGGCCTCGCGGATGGTGTTCACAGTGACCGGGCGTCGGCTCTGCGGGCTGCACTCTTCACGGTTCCGCGTGTGCTGAGCACTAACTGGGCGCCTGCTCTGGGCCGGGCACGCTCGTTCGACGCTCACACCAGCCCTGCGAGGTAGAGCGGTTCTCGTCCTTGTTCACACAACAAGCCTGAGGCCAAGGTCGTCCCACATGCAGGTGCTGAGGCTGGACACACACCCACACAACCACACCCCCCCCGAATGTGTCCAGAGCTTACTGACCCCCGCCCTCACCATCTCCTGCAGCCCAGCTCCCAGGCACCTGTGGCCGTTCCCAGTGCTGTCAGGACTGGATTCATCAGTTCTGGACTCTGTTCTCAGAATGGGCTGATAAGAGGCATTCAGTCTGTTTCTCCTCTCACACATGCGGGTGTTCTGAGATTCAGATTTCAGCTGATTTGCGTGGAGGACTATTAAATGCGTGCAGGCACTGAGCTAGGCATATGCACACACGCATACGTGCACACGTACACGCATTCCTAAGTCCATACACGTGGACACACGTGGAGGAAGGAGGCAGGGAGGGAGGACGGCGGGGGGAGGGGAGGAGAGGGACGTGGAATCCACAGTACGTCCTGCCAGGAGGTTGTTCGGGTCCTCACGTAATAGATCAGAGCCGAGGCTTGACGAGGCTTTGTGTGTGTGTGTGTGTGTGGTGCACGGGCCTCTCACCGCCGTGGCCTCTCCCGTTGCGGAGCACAGCCTCCGGACGCGCAGGCTCAGCGGCCATGGCTGACGGGCCCAGCCGCTCCGCGGCACGTGGGATCCTCCTGGACCGGGGCACGAACCCGTGTCCCCTGCATCGGCAGGCGGACTCTCAACCACTGCGCCACCAGGGAAGCCCTTGGCGAGGCTTTAGAACGTCTTCCCCAGACACACACTGATGGGCCTCGGGCTCGCAGTTCCATCTCTCCTGCCAGACCTGCTGTGCAGAGCTGAGCTGTCGTAGCCCCGGGACGTGTGGCTGAGTGAAGGAGGGGCCTTGACAAGCCCTGTGCCTGGAGGAAGGGGTTCCTTCTGTGAGTCCCACAGATGCTTTTTGGTTCAAGAAAGTTGATCAGAGCTGTGGATGCTCTCTCCACCCAGGATTTTCACCTTGAATCTGGGGCTCCAGGCCCCCCTGAAGCCTGTGGTAGTCGCCTCCAGCGAAGGCCCCGTGGAGTCCAGGCTAAGAACTCGCACGTCTGGGCTCTCTGTGTGCTCCTGGGTTCTCAGGTAGATAGGATGAGGCCCATCTTTCTTCCAGGATTCTGTGCTCCATAATCTTGCTGGGTCCCGACGTTGACCCTTATGATTTGGGAGAGTTGTAGGCAGATGCATGGGATCCCAACAGAGGGATCTTGGGAGTGCCAGCTCCAATGGGAGCACTTCCTTTGAACCACATCTTTTAAACAACCAGACTGAGATGTAATTCACATACCACACAAGTCACCCATTCGCCATATTGGTTATTTAGGGGGGTGTGTGTTTTAGTTTCCTCAGATTTATGAGCTTCTCAAATCTTCTTCTGTTACTGATTTTTACTTTTATTCCATTGTGGTCAAAGAACATACTTTGTATATTTTCAGTCCTTTCACATGTATTGAGCCCTGTTTTATGGCATAGCATCTGGTCTGCGCTGCAAGAATTCACTTGAAAAGGTGTGTTGCTCTGCGTTGCTGTGTGGTGAGTTTCGTGTGTGTCTGTTATGCCCGGTTGATTTATAGTGCTGTTCAAGTCTTCTACACTCTTATCTTCTGCCATCTGCGGTACTGAAGTCTCCAACTATCATTGTTAACATTGTCTATTTCTCACTTCATTTCTGTCAGTTTTAATTTCATGTATTTGCAGGCTCTGTTTCTAGGTGCATATATGTTTATAACTGTTGTATCTTCATGATGGATAGACCCTTTTTATTAGTACAGAGTGTCCCTCATTGTCTCTAGTAACAATTTTGTCTTAAAGTCTATTTGGTCTGATATTAGTACAGCCAACTCCAGTTCTCTTTTGGTTCCCGTTCACATAGTGTATCACTTCCGTCCTTTCACTTTCAACCTATTTGAATCTTTGCATCTAAAATGTGTCTCTTGCACGCAGCATATAGTTGGATCATGTTATTTTATTCATTCTGCCAATCTCTACCTGTTCACCAGGTTGTTTAATCCATTCACATTTAATGTAATTACTGCTAAGGCAGAATTTACCTCTGCCATTTTGGTGTTTGCCTTCTATAAGTCTCATATCTCTATTTCTCTCTTTTTCCTTTGCTGTCATCTTCTCTTTTGAGTGGGTATTTTCTAGTGTACCACTTATAGTGATTGCCCTAGTATCAGTATTTGCTTCAGATTTATACTAAATCTCTATATTTCTGTATAGATCTATTCCCTCCTCCCCTCTTTGTGTTATTATTATACATATTAAGTCCATATATGTGGCAACCCCAAGAATGCATTTTTATAGGTATCCTTTGATAGAATTTTATGTCTTTTAAAGAAGTTGAGAGAAGAAAGGTGAGCAAGTATCTATTTAGAGTTTACCATTTTAACCTTTTTATTTACTATTTCTGGTTCTCTTCATTTCTTTATGCCTCTTTGCACAGCTATTGTTAAGTATGTTACATTTCTATATATTATAGGCCCAACAATACAATTATATACATATTATTTTATGAAATTCCTATTTAAATCAGATAAGAGAAGAAAGGAGAACAAATAGGTAATTATACTGTCTTTCATAATTGCCTATGTAATCACCTTTGTTGGTGCTTTTTGTTTTTTCATGTGGATTTGAATTACTCTCTGGTGTCACTTGCTTTCGACCTGACAATCTTCCTTTAGTGTTTCCTGTGAGGCAGGTCAGCTAGCAATGAATTTTCCTGTTTTTGTTTATCTCAGAATGTCTTTATTTCACCTTCATTTTCAAAATAGTTTGTTGAATGTAAGATTCTTGGTTGACAGTTTTCTTTCAACACTTTGAATGTGTGACCCCATTGTCTTCTGTCCTCCATTTTTTCTGATTAGAAGTCAGCTGTTAATATTATTTGAGTTCGGTTGTTCTGGTTAAGTCATTTTTCTCTTGCTGACTTCAAGAGTTTCCTTCTGTCTTTGTCTTTCAGAATTTTAACTATGATGTGTCTGGGTGTGAATCTTGTTCCGTTTATCTTACTTGTGGTTTATTGAGCTTGTCAGGTGTGTAGACTTTTTTTTACCAAGTTTGGGGTGTTTTAAGTCATTACTTCCAGTATTTTCTCTGCTTCTTTCTTTCTCTTCTCATCCTGGTACTCTCACTATGCTTATGTTGGTACACTCGGTGTATTCTCACATTTGGTGGGTGCTCTGTTCTTTTTTTTTTTCTTATTCTTTTTTCTGTTTGTTTTTCAGATTGCATAATCTCTATCATTCTATCTTAAAGTGCACTGAGCCTTTCCTCTGTCAGCTCAAATCTACCATTGAGTCCCCCTAGTGAATTTTTAAATTTTGGTTATGGTATTTTTCAACTCTAGAACTTCTCATTAGGTTCTTTTTAAGTCATTTCTGTCTCTTTATTGATATTCTCTACTTGGTGTGGTAGTGTCAGCATACTTTAATTCTTTACACATGGTCTCCTTCAGTTCTTTGTTAAAGTCCCCTACTATGAATGTGTTACTGTCGATTTCCCCTTTTATGGCTGTTAGTATTTGCCTTATGTATTGAGGTGCTCCTGTGTTGGGTGCATAAGTATTTACAATTGTTATATCTTCTTCTTGGATTGATCCCTTGATCATTATGTAGTGTCCTTCTTTGTCTCTTGTAATAGTCTTTATCTTAAAGTCTATTTTGTCTGATATGAGAATTGCTACTCCAGCTTTCTTCTGATTTCCATTTGCATGGAATATCTTTTTCCATCCCCTCACTTTCAGTCTGTATGTGTGCCTAGGTCTGAAGTGGTCTTGTTTTTGTATCCATTCAGCCAGTCTGTGTCTTTTGGTGGGAGCATTTAATCCATTTACATTTAAGGTAATTATTGATATGTATGTTCCTATTCCCATTTACTTAATTGTTTTGGGTTTGTCATTGTAGGTCTTTTCCTTCTCTTGTGTATCTTGCTTAGAGAAGTTCCTTTAGCATTTGTTGTAAAGCTGGTTTGGTAGTGCTGAACTCTCAGCTTTTTCTTGTCTGTGAAGGTTTTAATTTCTCCATCAAATCTGAATGAGATCCTTGCTGGGTAGAGTAATCTTGGTTGTAGGTTTTTCTCCTTCATCACTTTAAATATGT